TTTCTCGGTCCATTCAAAAGACCTGCATTCATCAAAAGAAGTGAGCGAAGTGATAGGACCGTGAGAACTTCAGAAGACGAAGCTATTGATCTGTTATAAAAAGCTACATGACGGACAGTTTTAGGAAATTCCAATTCCCCATCGCCTTCTGTACTCATATAGCATTCTTGCACTGCAATGGATTGTGCGAGATCATGCATAAGATCATGCATTTTGCATGTTACGTTGCCAAATCCATCATCATGGACCTCTTGCAGAAATGATCTTCCCACTAGTTCATTGAAAATCCCAAGACCCATAACGTGCAAATCCATTTCATTTCTGCAAGAAATAAAGCCATTTGCCATCCATAAAGCAATCAACTCCTCCCTCCTCATCACGTGATAGATGAGTATAACTAAACCTCAAAGCAGGTAAAATCTCGCTTGCTTCTTCTCTTAGATCCCAAATCTCACTTTGTTTTACTTTTATCCATTCATCTTCACTTTCTTTTAGCCGCATTAGGTTCCCTAGTGCCTTTATAGCTAAAGGAACACCACTGCACTTCTTCACTGTTGATACTCCAATGGCTTCCAGGTGTGCCTGCTCCTCTTTCGTTCTCTTCCCGAATAAAAGCTGTTGAAACAAATCCCAAGAATCTTCTGCAGACAATCTCCCCATGCGCTGGATAAAAGTTGCGGCCATTCTACGAGCAACCATCTCATTACGCGTAGTTACTATTACAGCACTACCTTTAGCTCCACACCTTAATACCTCCTTTAATTTACTCCACCTATCAGTATAATCTTCCCACACATCATCCAGTACAAGCAAAAACTTCTTTCCAGTTAACTTTTGTTCGAGGCGTTGTAGCAAGGGATCCAATTCTTGAAGAGAACAAGAGGCACCGTCAATGGGCTCCATGATGGCTCTTGTTAATCTTCTCAAGTCAAAATCAGTAGACACACACACCCAGATCCTCAAGCCGAATTGTTGTTTAACCTTTTCTTCATTGTAGACCAATTGAGCAAGTGTTGTTTTCCCGAGTCCCCCCATTCCCCATATAGCATAAACAGGGAGATCGTCGTCATTAGTGAGCAGGATGTTGAGTAGTTCCTCTTTCTCCTTCCGTCGTCCGCAAATTTCTGACTCATTCACGAGTGAGTTGGTAAGCCGCCAATCATAGGTATCAGCTGCTATGTCTACAGCTCTTGGTGTTAAATCAAACATGTTTTTCTTATTGGCGATGGCATCCAATTGTTCTCTCACATTTTTCAATTTATGCTCCATTTTCAATCGAAAAAGAAGGGGGCCATGACCGAGAGTAAAGAGGGATCTCAGTCGGTTTTTGGGATCTCTTTGCAGCCGATGCCTTTGAGATTCAATTGCAAACTCATCCAGTACATCATCAACATCATAAGCTGCATCCTTGAGGTGTCTTAGCCAAATCTCTAAAGCCTTGTTCTTCCATTGCTTCTCCTCCGCATCCTGGAGCACAGCTTGAACCATTGCGAAGGTGCTTTCGAGATTCTCAAGCTCGGTGTCTAGGCCCCGAGCAAGCCCAACCTCTTTGAGAACCAGCAGCCTCAAGTTCTCCAAGACTGCACTCGCTACAGCAGAAACAACTGCGTCGGCCATTGCTTGTTTCGAAGCGAAAGGAATTGGATGTTGAGAAGTAGAAGTAGAAAAGGTGTACGGAAACTAAAAGCGGGGAGGTGAGCTAGAAATGGTAAGTAAATATTGAGATGAAAGAGCAGATGAGAAATGGAAAAGGTGAAAGCGTTTGGTGATGGGATTTTACTGATTATAGTGTGGTGGTTCAATTTTATCAAAATATTAAAACCGTAGTCTTTTAACTATACTGATTAGGCTCCACACGGCGCAGACTTGACTAGCCAGAACCTTCCATCGGAAAATTGTATAAAACCCACCTCAAATCCAATTTCTTGAACAAGTCAAATGAGTTTCTAATACATGAAAGAGAAATCACATCGGAATTTTTTTACATTTCAGCCTGAAAACTACACTATTACAGCGGCCTAAACCCTAATTCCATCCATTCATATGAATGCGCATGAGAGATTGAGGATTCCATGGAAACGAGTTTTAGTTAGTATAAAATCAAGGTTTCCATGCATATGAACAGCGAGTGACCTTGGACAGATTTGGCGTGGAGAACTGGACGGCGGGACTGAGACACTGGGGGCCGTAGTTGGTTATAGATGGGCCGGGCCGGGCATTTTTAAAAAGTAGAAAACGGAGCCACCATCAAAGCCTGTGGTCCTGCTCCATGGAAGGCCTACTTCTATGGTAGAATTGACGTGGAATTTTATTTTATTTTATTATAGCCAGAATATATTTTATTTTAGGATTAAAGGGATTCGGAACTTGAATTTCCTTAGCTTTAATTAGTTCACCACCTATGAATTGATGAACAGAAATTTTTAAATTTATTTTAAAAGCTTAAATTTAATATTTTTTAGTATTTTTTATTAATTTTATTTGTTAATATAAAAAATATTATTTTAATATACTTTTAAATAAAAAATACTTTAAAAAATACTATACACCACAATTTTAACCACTTCCAAGGACCGAAACTAAATATTTTTTCAATTAAGTTTTTAAAGTGCCCAACATTTTTTAATTGATTTACTATTCAAAATATATTTTTTTTGTTTTTTTTTACAAAAATCTTACCCAAAACAACAACATTTTATTAAATAAGAATTGTATTAAGGATGAAGTTTTTTCCTATTATTTTTTATCCAATAGAAGTTCCAATAGAAGTTCCATCAAGTTTTACATTATAATCTTTTCTTAAAAACATAAAAACAAAATAAAATAAAGCTTTTCTAAAAAGAAATTCAGAATGAAACTTGCAAGACATGAAACTTGCGGCTAGAACCTTTAGAACATGGATGGGTAATGTGTGGCTCAGTAGAATTATTTTCTATTGCGAGCTTTCGATCGCGTGGCTGAAAAGTTTTAAAAAATAATGTAAATAATATTTTAAATTATTATTTAATGATATAAATTTTTTCGTTTAGATAATTACTTAATATTGAGTTAAAGGTTTAATGTTGAAGATGAAATTTCACTATTTTTTTTTTCTAATTAAAATTAATTAATCATAAAAAATATATTTTAAAAAATAATATAAATAATATTTTAAAATTTCATATAACAATTCAAATTTTTAAATTAGAATACTGTTTTTTTTATAGAAACACGCAGTTTTCATTGTGGGAAAGATCAAAATATATTTCCATGTAAATACGATAAGTTTCCTTTTGCAAGACATTGCAAACGATGATGAAATGGATTTAGTTTGAAACTATCAATCAAATGGGTACTTTTATTAAAATATACCACTTCACCTGTACTTGCATTAGCAACATTACCATTAATGAACTTTTAGACATTGTTTAAGGAACATAATCTGACCAGGAAAACTTGAACATAATATAATTTATAATTTCATAGATGTTGAACAAAGAAAAATAGAAGAATAGAACCACAAGCTAATGCAATAAGATTAAGACCCTATTTATTTTTGTATTTTAAAAATATTTTTTTTAAATTAATTTTTTTATTTCAAATTTTTTAAATATTTTTTAATTTTTTTGATAAGCTAATATCAAAAATAATTTATTAAAAATAAAAAATGTAGATAAATCAAATATAAGATCTGGATTTTTATTTTCATGTATTAAGTTTTAGTTATTGTTTTTTTTGATTGATTTTATGTTTTTTTTTCAATTATTGATTTGATGTGATGTGCCCTTTATTTAAGTTAAGGGATTTTGTTAATTGGATTCTAATATTATTTTGAATTTGAAATCTGTTGAGTTTTTTTTGTTTGTTTGCTGATAAACCCTTATTTGTTCACGGCGATCTTGAATGACAAAATATTATTAGTTTCAATTAATTACATCTTCATAAATAAAGGCTAAAAGGATGTTTATGAGATTTTCTTATACAGGTTTTTTTTTTTCTGGAGTAACCAAAAAAATACTTATTACCGCACTAGTAAAACATGTTTCGATTAATGAACCAATCATTTTTACACCTTTATATCAATTTGAGAAAATTATTTAAACAATTACAACAAATTAACACTACGAAAATATATATTTTATTCTCATTACAAATTTAATTTGCATATCAACCTTAAATGACTGTAATCTTGGGGATGTGAGCTATCTTAGGCCAGTCCTCTCCTAAATCTTTCTCACACCTTTTCTCCAAATTTGGACATTCTTCGATTATTAGCGATTGGAGAGAAGTGAGATGTTGGATACTCTCTGGCAATGAATTCAGCTCTGGACATCCATAAAGCACCAAATCCTCAAGTGCCGTCAGATGCCGCACTCCCTCTGATAGAGATGTGAATTTATCACAACTACCAACAGATAAGTTGCGAAGAGAAGATAAGCCACACAGCCCATCCATTGGCAGACAATTTAATCTTCCACAACTCACTATTTGTAAGACCTCCAAGGAATTGAGGTTACGAAGACCTTCCTCTGGCAAGCTTTCAAGTTTCCCGCAACCACAAATCCTCAAGGTTTTAAGAGCAGAAAGGTTATCTAATACCCTATTTGACAAAGACTCCAGATCTCGCATCTCCCAAATTTTTAAGCTTCCAAGGAGGGTATGATTTTGCAAAAACCCATCGGGAAGCTCCCTCACATTTGGAATAGCGCTAATCCAAAGAGAAGTGATAGAAGTGAGATTCCTAACTGACATCAGCGACGAAGCATTACCTCCCCGGATGCCTAATTTTTTAAGGGAGGGTATAATTGGTATTTCGTTCAACAGAGGGCAATCGACTATATTCAATTCTCGAAGGCGAGGAAAAGTACTCGCAGCCCATTGCTCTAATCCCACCATTGAATCCAAAGTCAGCGTCTCCAAAGATGGGAATGGATTCTGCCCATCTCCATACACATTGCCGTCAATACTCTTCACACCATCCATTCCATGTAATACAAGACTCTTGAGAAACTGTAGTTTCCCCAATGGTGGAAGTTGTTCACAGTTGGGAAATGTTGATAGCTCCATCTCTACCAGATTTGGTAGCGTCATGTTCAAGTTCATCATCCAATTAGGAAGTCTTGAACCTCCATATCCACATATCTTCAACTTCTTCAGATTTGAATGAGGGTGAAGCCCTTCAAGGACCTCCTCGTTATTTCCCTGAATAACAATACTCTTTCTTTCTTGTGGTGCCAAAAATGACCAAGAGTTAAAAAGGTAACATCCATTCGAATGCCAAGATAAAGTCAGTGATAAAAGAGCTTTCTTCAACTTCAAATTGGCACTTTTAGCGTCTTCTAAATTCTTAACATTCACAAGATCTGCGAGACTCAATGCACCAGCAAGATTATTCAGCCCTTCCAGCTCACTTATGCGACGACCATTCTCCCCACCCACAATGAACAGGGTAAGTTTTCGTAGGAATATCAACTGTCGCATTCCAACAGGCATAAATCGAAGTGAATAACAACCCGTTATATCAAGATAGACAAGACTTTTCATGTGCTTCATACCTTTTGGTAATTGGATGAGTTCACTGCAACGTCTCAGATCTAGTGTCTGGAGGTTTTGGAGAGAGGTTGTACTTTCAGGCAGTGTTTTGATCCAGGAGCCTGACACATCCAGATACCTTAGATGTTTCAAATCACAAATTGACTTCGGCAATTTCTTGGCCCGGATATTTCTTAAACTCAAGGCTCGATGTTTTCGACCAGTAATCTTTCCCCCTCCATACCCATACAGTTCATTCCTCACAAGAAGTGAGCGAAGTGATAGGACCTTGAGAACTTCAGAAGACGAAGCTACTGATTTGTTATAAAAAGCTACATGACGGGCAGTTTTAGGAATTTCCAACTGCCCATCGCCTCCTGTACTCATATAGCATTCTTGTGCTGCAATGGATTGTGCAAGATCATGCATAAGATCATGCATTTTACATGTTATGTTGCCAAATCCATCATCCACGACCTCTTGCAGAAATGACCTTCCCGCTAGTTCATTGAATATCTCAATGCCCATGACGTGCAAATCCATTTCTCTTCTGCAAGAAATAAAGCCATTTGCCATCCACAAAGCAATCAGCTCCTCCCTCCTCATCACCTCATCTTTTGGAAATATAGCGCAATACGCAAAGCATTGCTTCAAATGTGGTGATAGATTAGTGTAACTCAACCTCAAAGCAGGTAAGATCTCGCTTGCGTCTTCTCTTAGATCCCAAATCTCACTTTCTTTGACAGCTATCCACTGATCTTCACTATCTTTTAGCCGCATGAGGTTCCCGAGTGCCTTCATAGCTAAAGGAACACCACCACACTTCTTCACTATTGATGCTCCAATGGCTTCCAGGTGTGCCCGCTCCTCTTTCCTTCTCATCCCGAATGCAAGCCGTTGAAACAAATGCCAGGAATCTTCTTCAGACAATCTACCCATGTGCTTGACAAAAGCTGTTGCCATTCTAAAAGCAACCATCTCAATACGCGTAGTTACTAACACAGCACTACCTTTAGATCCACAGCTTAATACCTCCTTCAATTGACTCCACCAATCAGTATAATCATCCCACACATCATCTAGTACAAGCAAAAACCTCCTTCCAGTTAACATTTGTTGGAGGCGTCGTTGCAGGGGATCCAATTCTTGAATATCACATGAAGCACCATCAATGGAATCTATGATGGCTCTTGTTAATCTTCTTACATCGAAATCAGTAGATACGCACACCCAGATCCTCAAACTGAAATGTTGTTTAACCCTTTTTTCATTGTAGACCATTTGTGAAAGTGTTGTTTTCCCGAGCCCCCCCATTCCCCATATAGCATAAATAGGGAGATCGTCTGCATCAGCGAGCAGGATGTTGATTAGTTCCTCTTTCTCCTTGCCTCTTCCGTAAATTTCTGATTCATTCACGACTGAGCTTGATTCATTCAGGATGTTGCTTGTATGCCGCCCATCGTAGGTATCTACTGCTACGTCCCCAACTCGTGTTGTTAGCTCGAACTTTTTGTTCTCATTGGCAATGACATCCAGTTTCTCTCTCACATTTTTCAACTTATGCGCCATTTTCAATCGAAAAATAAGTGGATTATGATCAAGAGAAAAGAAGGATCGTAGTCGATTTTTTAGATCTTTTTGCAGCCGATGCCTTCGAGCTTCAATTGCAAAGTCATCCAGCACATCATCAACATCATAAGCTGCATCCTTGAGGCGTCTTAACCAAATCTCTAAAGCCTTGGTCTTCCATTGCTTCTCCTCTGCATCCTGGAGCACAGCTTGAACAATTGCGAAGGTGCTTTTGAGATTCTCAAGCTCGGTGTCAAGGCCCCAAGCAAGCCCAGCCTCTTTAAGAGCCTGCAAGCTCAAGTTCTCCAGGATTGGACTCACAAGAGCAGAAACAATTGCTTCAGCCATGGCCTGTTTTGCTTTGGAAAATCTGGGTCTTGGTAACAACCGAAATCGCAAGATTGGTTATGGAGATGAGAATGGAAATTTTAACGGAAACACAAGATTGTTAATGGAAAAGAGAAGTGAAGAAGGGCTTCAAATATGATCAGGAAATTTTAAAGGAGACACGAGATTGGTTATGGGAAAGAGAACTGCAGAAGGACTTCAAAAGTGAGCAGGGAATTTTAATGGAAACACAAGATTGGTTATGGAAAATAGATATACAGAAGGACCAAACAATTTCTCACTCTTTGGAATAAAGAAAATTAATCTAACTTGGGCTTGAAGTGAAGAACATTAAAAAGAAGAAAAGAACATAATATGAGTTGAACAGAGAAGGCAAGAATTTGTTCCTTGCCCAATCTCTTCAAAATCCTAGCTGTACAGCATTTGGAGTTTCACAAGGCAAAAGATTCTTATCTTGTGATCTTTTCCTTTAAACAATGACTTCTCAAAGCAAAAGGCAGCACTCCAGAATTTCACCCTGTAAGAAAACAAAAGAAAGAAAGAATCAAAGGAGGGTAATTCAGAGCCTTACAATATTGTTTCTGGCATTTTACCTTTTTATGAAAAGCATATCGTAAAATAGTTGGAACATAAGGCAAGTTCAAAGCGTTATTTCCCTCTGTTATCATGGATCAAACCAATATTTTCTTCATTTTTGTTTGGGATTGAACGACGATTCAATCATGTTATTGTCATTAACATGCAGCTACTGTCTCCTTCCACATGAGAGTTTTGATCTTACTCACAGAAAACAAAACAAAAGGAAGCACTGCAACAAGAGCTAGAGTTTGGTAAATACACGTCTTAACTCATCACTTGCATCAGAACCTCCTTTCCGAGGTGACTTTTACCTCCATACACAGACAAGAATCTTGACCCATTCTCTTTATTACAGGTTTTCCCTATTAAATAAAATAAATAATATCTTTAAGTAATATTTAACAATTTAAATAGTTTTTTAATATATTATTAAAATTTTAATTACCATATAAATTCAAATCTTACAATTCTTATTCTTTATTTTAATTAAAATTAATTAATAGTATAAGTTAATAACCCGTGCAAAAGTTATAAGCTCAAGAAATATGCTAAAAAGTAATATAAATCTTAAAATTTTACCTAATAATTTAAATTTAATTTTAGTTCGACATGTTTGTTTTATACAAATAGGCATATTCTAGCAGAAAAAAGTCACCGTCTTCCATCATGAGAAAGATCAAAATATATTTCCATGGAAGTACAGTAAGTTTCCTTCTGCAAGACATTGCATAAGATGATAAAATGGATTTGGTTTCAAACTATCAATAAAATGGGTAGTTTTACGAGGACTTCTTATGAAAATATACCACTTCACCTGCACTTTTATGAGTAACATTACCGTCAATAAGCTTTTAAACACAATTTAAGGAACATAATCTGACCAGGGAAATTAACTTGAACATAATATAATTCATAATTTCACAGATGATTAATTCTAGCAACGAAGCTGAGCCTTGAACAAAGAAAAATAGAATAAGAGAACCAGAAGCTAATGTCAAGAAGATTAATAACCTTTTAGTTTTTATATTTCAAAATTCTTTTTTTTTTAAATATTTTTTTTATTTTAAATTAATTTTTTTATTTATAATTTTTTTATATAATATTAAAAATACTTTTAGCCATGATTTATTTTAGGCCAACCCTAGCCCAATGTTTTCTCAAAGCCCTAAACTGCCCAGTGCTTGGATCCCAAAGTCTCCAATCTTGGGCTCAAGGAGTTGCAGGTCGTGCAGATCTAGTTCTTTCCAATCTTCAATGAAGGGGTCCTGTGCTAGTGGATTGCACAAATTCAATGCTTGTGATCTCCCAAACCAGAAGTGATTTTGACAAACCGTTTTTTCTGTGGTTATATATACAAGAGATGCCGTGGAATTGAGCTTTCTGACAGGTGAGCTTCATACATAGCATTTCCATGAACATATATATATATATAAAGAATGTTTCCGGTGGAGACTTGAGATAGCTTTTTTCTAGTTAACATGGCAAGAGAATGGCACATGTATTTCCCCTTCCTTTGCTTTGCAGGGGCTAAATTACAAATGGCACATATAATGAAAAGGATAGTGCACTTTAACTCATAATGATCTTTAAATTACTGATATCCAAATTAGACTAAGGTTAGTCTCTTAAAATTGAAACGGTTCAGAATTGAAGAATTTCTTTCTATGCCTATGATCAAACCCTAATCTGGACATCATAAGGCCCACAATAATGGATTGGTTTCTAATTAAATAAGTAATCTGCAGAGGCTAGAACTATATGTGATTGATAAGTTTTTGTCTTCTTCAGATGGCGTTATTGCCGTGCCTGTTTCAGATTGAAGTCAGACATCAATGCCAGTAAAGTAAAAAGGACTTTTTCCAAAATCAAAATGATTGCTGGTTTCATTAGCAAATTTCAGCTCCAGAAGCAATCGTGCACACAGAAATAATGCCTGCCTGCATGGTTAGCTATATATTGCCTAACATTGTGCATTGACAACGCTAGTTTCAGGCTTCATTCTATGTCACTAAGATTACAACCAGAACTAGAATAAAGCATAGGCTCAAGAACACATTACACATATATGATCAACATAATGAAATGAATTAATTAGCGGTAAGCACTCCGACTTCCCCCCTTTTTTTTTTCTCATTTCTTCTCCTCCTGATTTCTTGTTTCTTGTTTTTTCCACCACAAAACATACACATTTTCTTCGAGCAAAAAAGACTTAAAATGACACTGAAGAACTAAGTGACCCTTTTTTTTTTTCCTTCCAAGTCAACCGCATTTTTTTATATATATATATCTATGCCTCTCCTCTCATTCATGAAGACTATGAAACAATACTCATGGAACTAAATAAAAGGAAAAAAAAAATCAACAAGACAAACTTGGTATATAGAAAAAAAGTTTATGCATAATCAGCAATGTTCTTTCCCTTGCCAGTCTGGTCTACCTAATGTGAACTCCAAGCTGGGGTTCTTGCAATCCATATTAGAAGATACCAAGTAGCTTTTCAGCTGAGTCGAATTACATTCCTGCAGTATTAATTAAGACATTTTCATGTTACCTCCTAAAAGTGAATAAAATTCTTATCCCTTCTGCTAGATTTCTGGAAAATTTTGATCTACTCAAATTTTAAAAAACTTTAGACTTTGGATGGTACCTCCATTTGTTGTCCAGACCTTTGTTGTGACTGGAATGTTCCTTGTCTGTGCCCATCAAAGTCGCTGGCGTTTGTCTGGGGCCATGCCTCTCTACCACTGAAATAATAACATAAGTTTTAATTAGCTTGAATTTATATTGACATGGTGCAGCAATATCAATATTTGTAAACCAATGCATATAATTATTTAGATGAGTACAGTTGATAGACCATCTTTTATAGTTGAATGCCACAGATTCAGCTGAAGCTTAATCAATTAATTGGAATGGTGACATTGTCTCTTATTTCAAAGCTAATTAAGAACAGCTCAACTATCATTTTCACTACCTACAAGGGTCAATTTCTGTCATTTTCCCTAATAAAAAAGTCCAATATAAGTCACATTTGATACATGCACAAAGGCTATAAAGGAAGGGATCATGAGCTAAATATATGCATGGAGACAGAGGCCAGGCCCTTGTACCTATACAAGGCATGTCATTTCAATGAATGCTATTAAGTGCTTAAGAACAGCCTGAAAAGGATGTTACAGGCAGCAGGGAGAAAGATGTGTGTGATGGAAATGTTCTTAATTGCTATGACAATTGAGGAAATATCAACACAGAAAGTGTTAGTTGCTTCCATTCTGATTAAGTACTGGCCCTAAAAGTCATACAATGTTCTATTTTAGATAAGGCAGTATCTAAGATCAAAGCTTTTGCCTGCTTGTGAAAATCTACCAGTACCTTTACATTTACAATTAGTGTAATAAAACTCCATTATAGGCAGAATTTTAGTCACTAGTCCTGTTACTCTATTTCTGTCTATCTTTAATGGCAGCTGGAAATCATTTATTTATGCAGTGATTGCACCCAAAACCTAAAGCTCCAGCGGGGAGTCATGTCAAAGTGAAGGTCCCTGTTGGTTTACATCTCTATTTAAAGAAACTTTTCTAGCCGAAGAACACCCTTGCTGGTAAAACCCAAGAAAGAAAGCAAAAATCTGAATTAATCTACATGCTATTTAGTGGAAGTAGGTACTAATTATAATTAAATACTAATTGATGAAACAATGAACAACATTGGCATTTTTAATTTGAACTTTGAGAAAAGGACGGCAGAAAATAAGTCAAGATGGGAACCGATCTTTTTGTTGTTATATGCAATGTGTCCTCGTGATGGGAATAAGAACCAGCTGAGTTGAACAGTAACATGATAATATATTGTTATTCTAAAAAGAAAAAGAAAAAGTGTACGTAGCTGTGGGAATTGCTTTCTTTCTTATCCTAATTAGCGTTTGATTGCGTTTTGGGAACTTTTCTATATATATATAATGGCGTAACACATTAAAGCTACAAATCTCATGTCAGCAAGAAAATCTTCGGAAACATAAAAGATCGCAAAAGAAAAGAAAGAAAAAGAAGAACATTATATAATACACTATAATATAGAAAGCAAAAGCTGTAGCTGCCTGCATTCAAGAGAAGAACTCATTTTATTCCTCAAAAAACTGGCGTGAACGTGAGTGGGTTTCGGATTTCTAAGTTGATCAAGTACAACGCAAAAAGAAAATAAAAGAAGAAGAGGAAAAGCATTCTATTTCATTAGTCTATTATACTCTCCTTTAAAAAAAGTGTAGGGCATGCATAGCATGTGTGTGTGTATAACGCTTTCTGATGTCTAGCATGCCAATTGCGTACCAAAAAACATTAAAGAGAGTCGCACAAAAGAGAGAAAGAGGTACCTTGAAGAATTACTCCAGAGAGTGGTAGCAGCAGAAGTAGTAGTTGAAGGGGAGTCCATGTCTTGTTGTGCTGTTGGCCCATCTGCTTGTACTACTCTTTGCAGTCCACCTTGCTCATTTGCAGTCCTAAAACTGCCAATTGGAGCCATGTCTTCTTCTCCAGATCCATCTGATATTGCCCTCCAACAAATCAATATACATAGCCACCAAAAAGCTCAAGTAAAATGCACAAACATGCACATACACACTTTTATACACACGGAAAAAAAGACAATGTTCTTGAATTTACATATACATGTGTTGGATGTGTGTGTACATGCATGCATGCATTGTCTGTATATATGTATGGTACTTGTGCTTAAGGGATAGCAAGATCTTTGATTAATAGGGTTTAGTGCTTAACATGATTTACTAATTAATCAATCGGGTTACAAAGCTATCCAAGTTGGGGCAGTGAAAAGCTAAAAACAACACCTAATAACAGAGAAGGACTAACGCCTCAAACAAAGAAAAAGTTGAAAAATTGAAGACTAAGCAATACGAATTACCTGAAGAGGCTGCAGGCTTGTCAGTGGTCTTAACAGTTCTATACATCTGCAAAGTCCAACGGGAATCCATAGGTAGTAATTAAAACGAAGACCATTCAAAGAATTAAAGAGATAAACAAAATATAAGTGCAAAAAAGAAAATGAAAAAAATTAGAAATGAAAAACACTTTTCAAAATTCATATATATATGATGAATCTCTAGCAACTTTTCTCTCTCTCTATGTGGGCTTCTGTGCTTGTCTTGGATTGATTCATTAATCACGAGGTTGATGTTTGATTAGGTTGTATAGTAATGAGAGAGTGTATTATTGAGAAATGATGACTACTTTTGTCTGTTATCATTCTCTCTCTCTCTCTCTCTCTCTCTCTCTCTCTGTTTTCCTTTTTCTTTGAAAGCAGAAACTTGTCTGCCTGAGACCTTTCAGAAGTTTCTCAGGCTCATTTCCTTTCTCTAGTATTCTTTACTTCGCCCATTCACTGCCTTCTCTGGCTACTGTGCCTGTGGGATACACCTTCCGCACCTCTATCCTCACATTCAAGACTCCAGGAGGGAGAGAAGGAAAAGGAGAGTGAGAGGAGAAGAGAGATTGTTGATTCATTTGTTTGTTTTGTGGTTTAATCACCTGTAAATGGCTCTTGACATGAGCTAATGTGAGATCTTTGACATCCATGAGTTCAAGAACTGACTTGGGAGTAGCTCCTATTAACAACAAGCCAATCAGTGAAACAAAGAAAAAAAAAGTGCTAAAAGTCAAAACAAAACATACCAAAACATTAAGAAATGTCTAAAATTCAAAGGATTTGTCCAAAACTCAAAAACCAATCGTTCACACGCAAATTATTGTAGGAAACAAATAATGAAAAAGAAAAAAGAAATGGAGGAGCACGGGAAAAAAATGATTTCTTTACTTTCATGGCCACCAAGAAGCTCAACAGCGTGAACAAATCTAGCATGAAGAGTGCTTGTCCATCTCATTCTTGGTGCCCTCATGCTCCTCTTTGTTGGAAGTTTTGGCAAGAATCTTGATCTAATCAACCCATGGGGAGAACCGTCTGTAGATCCAGCTCCATATTGATTATGGTGGTGGTGCAATTGGTGGGATTTGAAAGCATCCATTGATAGCCCCTTAAATCTTGTTGTTGGTGCTAATCTATTGTAAGGACCTGGCAAACCTTGATTCGGCCCTGATGAGTTTAACATGGACATGGGATCTAAACCTCCTCCTCCAATGCTATAAGGTGAAGAGGTGGATGAAGAAGAGTGAGGATTAACAGAAGGAGAGCACAAAGAGGAAGAAGGATAAGGCATTTGGTAGAAGCACATCTTGGGATCTTTATTCTCTCTTGATGAATGTTCTAAAGACATAAAAGGAAATGAACGGTTGTGATAAACTGGAATCCCTTTAATTGGCCTCAAACCATCTGATACTTCAAGTAAAGAAACCCCATGATTGATATGATTCAAGTGATGAGTAGTACCATTAGAACGGTGAAGATGTTGCTGGTGGTGACTTTGTTGACGATAAGGGTTATTGTGAGGTAGCTCTTCAACTCTAGCACTTGATAGATTTCTTCTGCTTCTTATACTTTCTTCATTAAGTCCAGTAGTTGGATGTGCTAGAGAGAGCTCGATACAAGCTTGAGAATCACTTCTCATGGAGCCAACAGTGTTGGACTTACGGATGGCTTCTTGTCTGCCCAAAAAATTGAAGCTTGCATCAATTTTATCCCTAATGTTGCTGTTGTTGTTACATATGGAAGACGGAGAGGAAATATTGGGAGGACTAATGTGTAAAGAAAGATCAGGAACTGGGTTTGAGGAGGGTTCAATGAAAACTCCTTCCAAGGGCATTTTCTTTAACTTACTGACCTTTTCTCCGGCTAAACTAAGCTAATAAAAAAGTGCAAGTATAATGAAGCAGCCAGGTGGGTCTTTAACCCTCTTTTCCCTCTTCCTTCTCCTTGAAAATATATATGTGAGAGCTAGCTAAAGAGAGATAGATATGGCTAACTAGCTACCTTTCACAAAAGAATAGATATAAAAAGCTTGGAAAGAACACACCATTGATTCATACTTTAAAGGCTTAAAGGGAGAAAGAGTTGGAAGTGAAGCAAAGAGAAGACTCTTTAAATCTTCATCAACAAACCAACATGCTCAAGAAAGAGAGAGAGTGTGTGTGAAAGGTAGATAAAAAAGAGAGAGAAGGATGTGTGTTGTTACGCAAAGAAGAAGACGAAGGAAAATAAAAATAATTAACAACTACTATATATTAAATTTATAAAAAAAAAATTGAAATCTTGAAAGTGCAATGAAGGGAGAGGAAGGATAGCCAGAAAGAGAGGGAGGGAGGATTTGGGTTTAGGTTTGCACACCTCGAGAGTATATCTTGGAAAATGACACTAGAGAGAAGAAGAAGAAGACGAGGTCTTTCTCTATCTAGTCAAAACTCAATCACTAAAAAAGAAAAAAAATAGATAACCCTAAAAAATAATAATAATAAAAAACCTTTTCCTCACCATGTTTTTCCTTCCCCGTCGAGAACGGGATACCAAATGCTAGAAAGAGAAAGACTATTCCTTGTAGGATTCCTTCTCCCCCATACTCTTCGCCTCTCCCCCTCCCTCCCTCTCTCTCCATGCATCCTATATATTAATTTCCAGAACTTTTCTTTTTGGCTTGAATTTAAAGATATTTTAGGGTATTATTTCTATGCTTAAATGGGCTAGGTTGGCAATTGTGCAACATGTTTATTATCTTGAAGAATCTTTTTAGCGAGAATTAAATAATAATAATAATAATAATAATAATAATAATAATAATAATATGTAATTGTATACTCAAGACGATTTTTTTATTTATTTTTTTGCAATTCAAGTCTTGAGATCATTATTAGACCATGTAATACATGTATTTTTTTGTATCATATGGGTAGACCCATTGACCTTTTTATATATGCAGTAAGAGACCCACATAAAGGGTTGTTTGTTTGCTTTCATGTGGATACATCGTAAACCCTAACTCTACATTACCTTCTAATTCCCTTTCATTCTCCCAAATATTCCCCTTCTAATAATAATCCTTCACCAACCTTGTCTCCAGGCATCGTTCGTGGGTTCTTATTATTATGTCATCCACATGAACTATATACGTACAATATATAATATAACTCCTCTAGCTAGCTAGCTCATTGACTCCATAGATATATTGCTATTGTCTCACAAAACCCTAGGCTAAATCAAGGCTTAATTTATAATTATGGGATTGTTAAATCTCTTAATATTAATTATCACCGGAAGCACTAGCTAGTAACCCTATTTGTTTATTTTCTTTCTTTAAATGCTCAAGTGTTTGCTGGAGATAAAAAAAAAAAAACTTGGTCTGGGGAGGCAGCCCCTTGTTTTTTTTTTTTTTTTTTTTTATTTAATTAGGTGTGAAGTGGTAGTTCTACTGTTTGCCACTTTCGCCAATATTACCGAGGACAAAAACACTAATTCAAAGGTGTTGTTTGGATGCTAGCTGCATTGAATGCGTATTTGGGTAAATTGTAAATGCTGTTTGATTTTTTTTAACTTCTAGGAAACACATATATATTGTATTGTGATGATACAGGAATTTCCACCTCTGTGTGCATATATAGTAAGCTTCTATTTATTACAAACAGGATCAAAGACTCTAATGAAGCTGAGTTGTTAATTAGCAGTGATTAAAGCTTTAAGATTATCTTCACCTAGAGTAGACTTGTTTGGTTAATTGAATTCGACTATTCTAATGAGGTTATCTAGATGAATAAACCATTCATCAGTTGATCATGACGATTCCATGATCTCTTCATTCATGGATTTAGTGTCTTTCTCTCGTACCTTGAGGGATGCTAATCATGCAATTGTTGATTGACTTGCTGAACAAGGTGTCTCTAGAAGTTGTGAATTTGTGGTATATCTGACATTGATTTTGGTGATGGAAATGCTAAATACATTGATGCTTCTGAGGAAGATATTGATAGAACTCTCTAAGAAGTTGATAGATGTTGTTGGCCAGGAAAATACAGAAGCAGGGGTTGAGTCTTTGATTGTTTTGTCTGATCTTTTGAGCTTTTCAGCTGGGTCTTGTGGGCGTAGGTTTCTGTTGCTTTTCTTTTAACGTCTCTTGCAGACCCTTGCGGTCTATGTTTTTCCTTCTACAGGTAGCGTGACTTATTTTTCTTATAAATATATTAATTTTAAAATATTTAATGTTATTAATGATGTAACTAAATATTAGTTAGCTAACAGGAATAAAATAAGAAAAATTCCATTCTGGAAAGCTATTTCAAGAACACCCATATCCATAAGATTCATACAACAAAATATTAAGCTACATGTGACCGAGTCCTTTATTTTAATAATTCTTCAAATTTAATTAATTTTGAAAATTAATGTTAAGGCCATTTTTTCTTAATGCAATGCATGTTATTTCAAAATTGGCTGAGCCAAGCAACTGGCGAGGCCGTGGCTACCTCCTGTAAAGATATAAAAATTCTTGATTTTTTAGGAATGGAAGTTTCTTACACAATGATCCTCTAAGAAAACAAGTTTCATTATAGCCCTTTAAATCTTTTTTTTTTAATTATTGATCCATTATTTATATGTGTGGACGAGTTATTTATGCTACCTTCCAGAGAAACATGCCGAGAGGAAAAAACTAATGTTGATCTTTATGTGTCCTATTTCAAAAATAAATTTGGTTTCATTTATAAAGAGATAGTCCTTATTTTGCCTTCTCTATTTATTGCAGAAAAAAAATTCAATTTATTCCCTATGTTCTTTTTCTTTTTTTTTTTAATTACCTCCATGATTGATAATGGTCGTCGGGATCCTTATTTAATTTGATGCTATGAATGTCACACAAAGTCAATTTCCCCCATATAGATCGTGTAAATCACACTCATGATGTATAAAATTGAAGGAAATTGGCCACCTCTTTCAAATTTCCTAATCATTTAACCCCTAATTTCTCAATTATGCAGGAAATGAACCAAAAAGAATATTGTGGAAAACATATTACCACAAATACTAGGAGCAAATAAGGAACTAGCTTTTTTTAACAATCAAATTGATAGGTATATATGGTCATACACATCTTATTATAAAGCAATTTTTATTGCCAGACTATTTTTCCAAAAATAATTAAATGTGAATTCAAAATCAAATCTTCTTTTATTGTTAAGTTTAGAAAAATGTTATTCAGTTGTTGATACATCAAAGAAACATCTCATTATAAAATTTTATATTGTTAAATAATATCTTAAAATATAATTTATTATTCTGTAATATAATTTTTTTAGTGAAAACTGTTTAGATTTTCATATATAATTTATATTATTTTCTAACACTTTTTTTAAGTAAAAACTCTAAAATATAATTTATATTATTTTTTATCACAACTCTCAAATGAAAACTTTTTGAATTTTAAAACTTGTATAGATACACATTAACTTGCGCTATTAATTTTATTAAATAGAATGAGAGTGATGTCAATTCAATTCAAAACTATAAACTGTTAAATAAAATTTAAAAATATAATTTTTATTATTTCTAATAATAAAAAACTAAAAAAAAAGCCTTACCCCATTTATAAAGAACGTTGAACGAGTTCAATAGCGAATTACTTGTAAGATTTGCTAGCTAAATTATATTATTATTACTCTGAAACACGAAAATTGTTTGTAGATTCTTTTAATTAAATGGAGGCTCAAGCCCGAAATGTATTGGAACTCTAGTGAGATTAATTATCCAATTACCATTCCATTGATGTGAAAATGATGACAGGAAAATCACACCAAAAATTGAGTACTCTGGGTCATTCCCAATCCCAGCTACATTTTGATCATACCCACGAATTCTTCCATGCCAAATCTTTTGAATAATATTATGAGTAACCATCCTTCCTTCCTTTCTAGCTATTATTGGCCTTTGCATGTGAATCAATTTAACCCTTCCTGAGGACCATCAAAATCTTATGAGAAAGTTTAAAGCAAAGGAACAAGTCTTTTGTTGAGTTGATGATACACGTAGTCCTTCTATTCTAAATGGACAAATAAGAGCAATGGACCGAAATGACATGAAAACGCAAGTACAAGGACTAATGTGACATCAAATTCTTTCTCTCTTTTTCATTCCCTGCAAACACAAATGGAATAAAAAAGACAAACAGAGGAAATCAAAGAAGGAAGGAAGGAAGGAAACGGGCCATTTCTTCACACAAACCCTTAAACACACTCTACCATTGTTATGGAAGTTGATATTAACCCCCATGTCTTCATGGAAATGGTTGGAAATGGACCCCGAGGGACCTTAGGATACTGTTAAGACTTGAATTCTGACAACACTACAATACTTGTTAAGAAATCCCATATATATAAAATATAAATTATCATAGGGATATATCATTATCTGAGCAGAAAGATATATATATCCCACATGTATCTCATTAATGGGTACACAGTCTTGACAAGAATGTATGGTGGAGAATATGGAATAGCCTGTGTGTGACATTACACTTAATATATGATTTTCGGTACAGCTCTATATCATACAAAATGATGTTCATTCACCATCAATGGACAGGCATTTTATAACTTTGGTCCCACTTTTGCAGCTCCTCTTATTTATTTTTTCAAAAGAGAAAGGTAAGACACACCAATTAAAGTTAAATGATCGTCACTGGTTAGATGGCTTTTCTGTTCAAGCTGCTGTTCTCTTTGAATCTGTTCATTTGAATCCTTTAGTTAAAAGTAATGGAGGATTTCTGCTAAGTATGAAATTGAAAATTTGAACAAGCCCTTAACAAAAGAGTGCACATGTAGTATTTATTTGTTAAAAAATAATCTAAATTATATTATGAAATCTCATCTAATAATTTAAGTTATTGAGTTGAATTGGTTTTTTGACATGGTATCAGAACCTTGATGACCAAGCGGTTAAGAATTCGAATTTCATCATCCTTATTTATGTTCATTTTAGTTTATGTGATAAAAATTAAATACAAAATAGTATGAGTCTATGCAAGTTTCAAGCCCAAAAAACTTTCATTTAAGGAATTGTGTTATAAAATAATATAAATTATATCATAAAACCTCACCTAACAACTTAAGTTATGGGATTGAATTGGTTCTTTGACATTATTTAATATCATTTTTATATTTATTTTATGTTGTATATTTTTTATTTTATTTTATCAATTATTTT